TTAATATTGTTGAGTTTTCTTTGGCGTTAGTCCTTATACTTTAATAACTTTTTCCTGATCAATATTCTTCAGTGTTTGATGACTCAGTCCTCGATCCTCTCTGTTTGTATTCCTTCATAAAAGCTCTGGATATTCAGCCTGGTCTTTGGACAGCAGCCGTTTGACTGCAACAGATGGTGGTTTGATTACTGAGGGGATGCTCCAATGTATCGCCTCTCGTGCCCCTCAGCCCCGCATCGTGTTTCAATTAAACGAGGATTTAGAAGCTGCATCGCGAGTCAATTCTCATAATTCATTAAGAGGAGCGATCAGGCGAGGAGGCTGTGATTCAGGAGCTGAGTGTGAAGCTAACATCAGGCTGAAGTGGAATAACCATTTCTAACAACACAGCTTCTTGCCAGACTTTTTGCCTGTTTTTAAACTTGTTCCTCGCATGACATATACACAATAGAGGGATGCAGCGATTGTGTATTTTTCTGTTGGACCCTGAAGGCATCATCTCCCGGTTAGTGCTAGGTCGTATACCTCCTGGGTTTTAGGCTGAAGTGACGTTACCTGCCACCCAGGATAAGAGATGAGCATGAATACATAATTTCCCCACAAAAATATCATAAATATAATATTTTGAGAATTCATAACTTTGGAGGAAAGCAGGCTATTACTAATATTTAAAAAAAATGACATCTCCATCCATCCATCTTCTCCCGCTTATCCGTGGTCGGGTCGCGGGGGCAGCAGTTCCAACAGAGAGCCCCAAACGTTCCTTCCCCTGGCGACATCAACCAGCTCTGACTGGGGGATCCCAAGGCGCTCCCAGGCCAGCGAAGAGATATAATCCCTCCACCTGGTCCTAGGTCTACCCCTTGGTTTCTTCCCAGCTGGACGTGCCTGGAACACCTCCCTCGGGAGGCGCCCAGGTGGCATCCTAACTAGGTGCCCGAACCACCTCAACTGGCTCCTTTCGACACGAAGGAGGAGCGGTTCAACTCCGAGTCCCTCCCGGATGACTGAACTTCTCACCTTATCCCTAAGGGAGACGCCAGCCACCCTGCGGAGAAAACCCATCTCGACCGATTGTATCCGTGATCTCGTTCTTTCGTTCATGACAAAAAAAACGACATCTCACAAGAAGAAAAGCACAGATGGGATTTAACACTCAGAAAGCCACTGAGTGCGTTCGGATTACAGTGACACACACAGTACGAGGTTTATTTTAAAAAAGGGGGGAGATTTTTTAGGAGTGTGCTCCCTCTCACTCCTGTTCACTGTCCTCCGGTTTCCTGCAGGACTCCAGAGTCATAAAGAGCCCATGCTAAATTAAATTAAATGTGTCTACTTTTACTACCAGATGTGCTGTCAGTTGCTGCAAAAGTTGCCGACTTCTCATCCACGATTACATCACTTCCGCCGCTTAAAACCCAGGAGGTATACGATCTAGCACTAACCATCATCCCCCTGGTTCAATTGGATTCCTCCATGTGATTTTGGATTATTGCGGAAACTTAACTCCACTAGCAAACACACGTTTATGATACTTATACGTTTTGTTCAGCAGGATCATCTCCAAGTATTAACACCACTTTATGATTCTTGAAGTCAAAATCTAACATTAGGCTATAAAGGAACAGCACGGTCACATGACTTCACGTCACCACCGCTAAGCTAAAGGCGGCTAACATTAGGCTATAAAGGAACTACAGCACGGTCACATGATACACAATATGTTTTGCATATTAAGGCAAGATGCAGCATGTGTTTGATATGACAGTGTGTGTGTTTGTGTGAACTTGCAGAATGTGTTTTTGATTAGTACCATATATGGAAGTCAATATGTCTCATATTGTGTGAAGAAATCCAAGATACATGTGCAAATGTACATTTAAAACACCTTCCATAAATGCAAAAAAAACATATGAACTAATATAAGCTAATTTAACACAAACTTGCAAATATACAAACAAATTCCTATATTAAAATATATATATGTGAATGCAGTAGTAGTCTGTCTGCATTTACACAACGATTGTCAATAATAGAGACAGATCTACCACCATACCAGTTTCTCCTTTGCTGTCCAGTGAAGGTCGGTGTGTGTAGAAGACGTGTCGCAAAGTTGACTCACTGAGCAGGAAGCCGTCTATACTGCAAAGCCTGAGTCACTGTACGACACATATCTCCTTCAGAGGTCACATCGCTCCTCCAGCTGTCGCACTTCACACTTCATCGCTGCTTACGTATCCAGAATTGAGTGAAGGTTGAACAAACATGGAGAAGCTGCACCTGAGCAGCTACTTCACCTATTTTCTGTTCTTATTTAACTCACTTAAAGAGGCCCTGTCATTTTTTGTAATGGTTTTTCCTCTCCTGTAGAAATTTACAAATATGAACCTGAAAATGAACACAATAGCGCCCCATCATTACCATTATTGGGATGTGTTGTCTATTTTTTTATTTTAGCAATATGCAAAAGTGCATCATCTTCCATTACGCTTAAACATTTCAGGTCATTTTTTTTTCACAGAAATTAATGAAAATCCAGAAATATTGGCCAAGTTTAAAAATGGTTTCTTTTAAAAGTTACCTCCTAGTTTCTTTGTTTGTATGCTGTCCTCCTGCTGTACAGCCATCATCTTTTTTTAAGATCATGTTTCTACCGCACCCTTCTCTCCACACGCACACACACATATTAAAGAGCCATATGGGTCATAATGGAGCTTAATAAATGTGGCTGCTCCCACACGGAGGGCAGGGGGCTGAACGAGTGTTTTCCTGGTACATGTGTTTAATTAGCCTCCGCCGTGCTACACCGACGTGAGGGTGATGATGTCGAGGGTAATTAAATCAGATGACAGGAGGACGGGCTGATGCTCTGCACCTGAACGCATCACAGATATTAGTCACTATCACAGGTGGGAGTCTGGGTTATTAAAGCTATGATGTGGATTTAGCTGCTTCTTGCAGGGGAAACGTGTTCACATTTTAGAATACATTTATTAGGTTCAAAGATGAATAATCAATTCGTTAATTTTTTGATGTCTTTAGAATTTAGATGTATTGCCTTTCTCTGTTTTAAATCACATTACAGTGAATTTGTAGTTTTGGACTCAGATAACAAGATATTTAAATTTTAAACACATCGTCTTGGACTTTGAGGAACTACGATGGAATTTCTCTTTTACTATTTTCTGCGATTTTATAGAGCAAAAGCATAGACTTCATAGCAAAACATAGATTTGGGAGAAAACAAATACAACAGTATCTGAATAAAGAGAAAAGTACATCTGTCTTACAAAATCCTTAACAATTATCTGTCAAGTTAGAAATTATGATTTAAAAAAAAAAATTGTCCGTGTAAAAAATGCATTCAAGTCGTCTTAATTGTTTACCCTGATTGGTTTTAAAAAGTCCTAAATCCAACTTTAAGCTGCTGTAGTCCTGAAGTTACTCCTTAAAAATACCAGCTTTGTTATGAGTTTAAATAAATATGTTTTGTGGGCTAATGAAGAATATTTATATTGTCTAAAAACTCATCTGTTGTGATTGGTCAACAGCTTAGAGATGTCCCGCCCCTTAACCTATCCGTACAATGTGTTGGAGCGCTAGCCAATAGTAGAGCGAGTGTTACAAAGGAATGTCACTATGTTTCTGAAGTGAAGAAAGAAGTCAAATGGACGCGATTCAGGCAGGGAGGGAACACAGGGATTTTAGCCTTTGCAGACCATTTACATGCACTAAAAATGATAGAACACACTACAGGAGAATGCCTGATTAATTTCAATCCAAGTGGTATTAAAGAAGTCCCCAAACCCTTTTAATCTAACTGTAGAAATCTGATGCATGATAATTGTCAGATGACTGGTTGTGATTGAAATCCCGTCAGAGATGAGAATCTGAAATCAATGAGATGTTTCAGCAGAGATCAGTTTGATTACCTGTTAACGATCCTCCCTGATTCACACCCATCGATTCACTCAACTGAAACGTGTTACACTGATCCGACATCCTCAACAAACTCACGTCGATACAGAGCTCGTTGTTCGGCCTCGAGGGTCAGAATTTGAATTACAGCTGCCAACCACTTTCATCCTGATCAGAGGCCGGCTGTCAAACTGGACTAATGTTAAACCAATACATAAAATATCTATCAACAAATTAGAAAAAAACAATATAGTTCACCAACACAGATACATCTTCAATTCTCACACATACTGTAGCGGCCAAAATCATATAGAAATAAAACAGATAATTAATACAGCCGCTGAGGCACTAGTTAGCAGATCTTACGCAGGGCAATGATCCAGGTCCAGACAAGATTCTCCATTTGTGCAGTTTATTCGGATAACAAAGTACAACGAACAGGTTTCCTATATCCCTTCTCCTTAAGCCTTTCCTATGGCTTCCCTTTTCCTTAAGCCTTTCCTATGGCTTCCCTTTTGCTGGCTTGAACCACCCTGGTAAAAAACCGTTTGCCTACTAGTGCTCTGACTCCCACTTCCACCTGTCTCCAATATATACAATTACACCAGGTGCTCTAATCACCCAGTGCCCAAAACATGCCTTCAAAATAAAAGCATAGAAACTACTTTAACTTATGAGACTAACTAAGAATACATTCACAATAAACACTATAAAACAGCAAGAAAATAAATGTTAAACTATTAAATAATATAAAGAGATATATAGCTCCAACACATACTGTACATGAATTCTCAACAACTAACCTCTTTGTCTTAATTTATCTTTTATTTTATTCTAAAAAGCAGAAACTGTCACAAAACTCAATTTAAGGCGGGTCAAATACATTTCTGATTCTGTCAATTATCATGTCAAAGCTTTTACTCGAAATTTGAGATAATATTATTTTGGTGCAGTAAAACAGTCTGTTTCCCAGTGTGATGATGACTTTAACTTTAGTCTGTGTGTTTCATGTTGGCTGTAAACGCAGATAATGTCTTTAATGTTTTTGTGTAACTGATTATTTCTCCTGCGTTTCTCTGCAGGTGGAGCGGGAGATAGCCATTCTGAAACTCATAGAGCACCCCCACGTTTTAAAGCTGCACGACGTCTATGAAAATAAGAAATACCTGTAAGTACATATGTCCTTCTGCATGCACACTGTAACTCTTCATTTAAAGGTCCCCTAATATCCTCTTTTTCAACAATATATTATAGCTCTCAGATATATACAGGACATGTCTCTGAAGTGTTTGGCTCCAAACCAATCATTGCAGAATCCCATAATCCCCTCTGTTTCAGCCCTGTTTCCAAAGTGCTGATTCTCTGTCTGTTACTTTATATGCTAATGAGCTGCTGCTGGCCACGCCCCTCTGAGAGATGATTGGTTAACTGACAATAAAATACAATTTATATTTGGGGCGACAACCTGTCGATGTGTCCTTGGGCAAGATAATGCTGAACCCTTAGTTGCTACAAGATGGACAATATGTGTGTCGTTGTGTGTGTGTGTGTGTGTGTGTGTTGTGGTGTGTGTGTGTGGTGTGTGTGTGTGTGTGTGTGTGTGTGTGTGTGTGTGTGTGTGTGTGTGTGTGTGTGTGTGTGTGTGTGTGTGTGTGTGTGTGTGTATGTGTGTGTGTGTGTGTGTGTGTGTGTGTGTGTGTGTGTGTGTGTGTGTGTGTGTGTGTGTGTGTGTGTGTGTGTGGTGTGTGTGTGTGTGTGTGAGAGAGAGAGAGAGTTAGCTTCCCTAGAGCAAGTGGTACTGCTCTGCATGAATGATGTGTGAATGACTCGTAGTATGTAAAGCGTTGTGAGGGGTCGTAAAGACCTGATAAAGCGCTATATAAGTACAGTCCATTTACCATATAAGAAATTTGATTTAGTTATTTTGTAACTCTTTACATTATTACAGTCAGCTGTGGTAATGTTTAACTCAACAACCGTTGTGCTTAGATCTGCTGAATTGGCAGGATTTTTAAATGTAAAAGGTAAACACGTTTTTTAATCAAAAGAAAAATGTCTACTATTCCATTAAACTGGGTTTTAACTGCAGTTATATTTCCCCAATCAAGTTATCAATCAATCAATCAATGTTGATTTATACAGCCCAATATCACAAATACATTTGTCTCAGTGGACTTCACAGTTTGTACAGAATATCAGTATGACAATACGACACCCTCTGTCCTTAGACCCTCTGTCCTTAGACCCTCTGTCCTTAGTCCCTCTGTCCTTAGACCCTCACATCGTACAAGGAAACACTTCCGGAGAAAACCCACAGTTTAAAGGGAACATGGGAGAAACCTCAGGGAGAGCAACAGAGGAGGGATCCCTCTCCCAGGACGGACAGACGTGCAATAGATGCCGTGTGTAAATTGAAAAGATAATACATTTGCAACATAGGTAGACCAAAGTTATATTTCCCCAATATATTTTATCTTTTGTAGTTAGAGTTTATATTTTGTTCAATATTTCTGTGAATATACCATTCCATTTCTAAAAGCCTAACTTCGTTAAAGTCGTTTTGTTCTTATTGGACTTGTATTTCTTCAGTAGATTAGAGTTTGCATAATTCTCTAGGTACAGTAAGATCTGTAGATTAAATGAACCATGGACAAAATCTCGTTTTAATCGACTAAGAATTTCTTTAGACCAGGACAGAATTAGCGCTAAGTCTGTGTTGCTAAATTCCATCCAATCCAGTGGGGATCTGCACCAACGTTAGCAAACTAGACATAAACACCTTTCCTGTAGAACAAACTACAAGAAAGGGAAAACAGAACCGGGCCTCTTTAAAATGTGTGCGGACAGACAGATTGAAGTTGAGCTAACAAACAACATCTATAAGATATGAAAATGATGTGCCCTGCAGAGCATTTGAACATGGTGCACGGTTCCTCCATGCAGCTGTTTGTGTGTTTTATGAAGGCATGGGATGCTTTATTGGTCCCCCTCTCCCGTGTATCTTTAATGTATATCCTGTTTTATTGCACACATTAATCTGCTGCGTGTGGCCGCTGCGCTCCAGTGGGACGGCGTAATGCGATGTTCAATAATTGATAAAGGCAGTGGCGTCAAACGGAGCGGGAATTTGTTTTCTTAATGTTGCAGGGACAGGGACGGATGGTCAACAGTTTGCGGGGTGAGATTTCACAAATCACACGTTTCTAATTTGAGGAGAAAACGCTCGAGTAGATCCTTTAATCTGCTAATAAATCAGTGACAGGGGGAGCGTGCGCAGGAGCACGATGTCTCCGGGAAAAATGAACACAGATAAAACATTTTAAACCGCAGGCACACACTCTGAACACAGTGCAGGATTTACATTAAGCATCAATATGGTAACTTCAGCATGTCGTGTACAAATACTAGTTTATGACTCAATTATTTTATTAATGCCTCCTTTATTCTGAGGAGGAATTAACTGAGGCATTAAGGATATTTACTCGTGAAGGTGAGGTAGTTTAGTTTTTAAGTTCTGTTACTGGGGTTTTTTGAGACTTTGTTTCAAAGGGAAATTGCTGCCCCCTCTTTTACACTTACATTACATTTCATTTAGCTGACGCTTTTATCCAAAGCAACTTACAATATTTTATTTATTTATTTAATCGTGTATTTGGCAGGGACAATGCACAGTAATGAACACTTAAAACATTCAAATGTATCAAGTGTAACAGTGCCAGATTTAGCTTTGAGCTAATTTCCATCCGCAGTCCCTCACATAATATTTAAGAAAATAACATTTTACAAACAAAATACATGATATGCAAAAAGTGTAAAAGAGCAAGAGCAGCATCCACGAGTATTTACCACATGGCAGTACAATCTAGCAGCAACGACATATAAATACATATACTGTAAGTGCATTCGACCAAGAAGATACAAAGAAAACAGAATCATAAAGTACATCAGGTTTCATAGAGCAAAACATTTCAAGTGCTACTCAACTGGCTTTAGATAAGCCAGCCCTTTATTAGTATATAAGTGCTTTGTTAATAATTCTATCGCTCGAAGTGGAGTCGAAAGAGATGAGTTTTCAGTCTGCGCCGGAAGGTGTGTAAGCTTTCTGCTGTCCTGATGCCAATGGAGAGCTCATTCCACCATCTTGGAGCCAGGACAGCAAACCCACGTGTTTCTGCTGATGGGAACTTGGGTCTTATTTACTTTAGCCATAGTAACATTTCTTATTCCTTATTTTTCTACTATAGTTATCTATTCCTTTTTTATTATAATATTACTACAGTGTAGTTTTTTAATCTTATTCCACTACACTTCTTTTATGTAATGCACTATAGTTATCTTCCAATTTGACATTTAACTACAGTTAAACCTATTTTGTTCTTTTTATGCTACCATAGTATTTTAATTATATTAGTTATTTATTTATTTGTTTTTTATTCTACTAAAATGACCTTAATTTTACTTTCATCTACAACAGTTACCTTTTTAATTTCATCTTCATTTCTACTTTCTGCTCCAGTGATGCCTTTTTATTTTATTTGTGTTTCGCTATTTATATTGTGCTTGTTTACTTTTATTCTCCTCCATTTATTTATCCTTTTTCCTAATTATGTGACTTCAATAATCGTTCTTACACCTTTTACAGTTTTCTGTTTTCTTTTAATTCAACTAAAGGTATTATTTAAAGATATGATCTTAAAATATACTTAATGTACAAAACCCTGAAAGAGACATTTTGACTTTTAGAGCTGTCAACTACTTTAGGTTAAAACTTCAGTTAACAAATGACCCTTAAAGGTGGGCTAGGTAAGAATGGAGAAACAGCTCGAGTGCGCTAGAATTTGAAAATACACAACCGAAAAAAATCTGCCACTTCCATCCAGAGCCCCTCCTCCAACACACACGAACGCGCACATGACCAATGAGGGCACGAGATAAGTTTGTGCACAGATGGAAGGCTGACAGGCAGGTAGGCCATCCAGTTACTTTAGTGCTTTTTTTTAGTGCTTTTTGTCAAAGCACTTCAGATATTCATTGCTATCGGGATGTTAAAAGCATTCCATGGAATATAATAAAAAGTGTATCTCGAGCCGGTTTCTCAAACTTACCTACCCCACCTTTAATCCTTAATACTTGCACGAGTGTACTGAAAATACAGGAGTCCTTTTCCCTCGCTGACATGTTTGTGTTTGCCTCTGCAGATACCTGGTGCTGGAGCATGTGTCGGGGGGGGAGCTGTTCGACTACCTGGTGAAAAAGGGCCGACTAACACCTAAAGAGGCCAGAAAGTTCTTCAGACAGATCATCTCCGCGCTGGACTTCTGCCACAGCCACTCTATATGGTGCGTACATTTTACACACAAACATCTTGGAGAATATACATCATGTTAGTTCAGTTATATTCAACGTTGTACTTTTCTTTTGGCTCTTTCTCACACGGTATGTTTTTGGTGGGATTCCCTGCTTCGCTTTACGTGTCGATAGTGATGACTGTAGTTTGACTCAAATGGGGAACCACATTACCAGGGTTCTTAAAATGGTGATTGATATATGCGACGCTTGGGGATTATCTCACGCAACAATTGTGACGATTCTCTCTGACCAATCAGCAGTCGGGAGTGTTTACGTCACTAGTTTAGCATGTTTTCAGCTGGCTTGGAACCTCCATGTACCCGTGAGCCGGTACCGGGCCGACCCAAACCAAACCGCACCAAAACCTGCAGTGGAAAAGCGCCATTAGTAAGAGCTAGTACAATAATCAACAATAATGAATGAAAATGAATATTAATTAGCCTTTTACTGTTCATAAAATCATAAATAGGGTTGTAAATAAATCGCCCTGCAGTTAACGTTGTGTATTAGCTCAATAAAACATTACAATGGCTATCAGAAGGATTTCATATTCATCAAAATACGTATTTATTATCGTATTTGATCATACTATTTGTTATATTAATAGTACACACCAAGTCTCCTCTGGGGATCCCCTTTGTACACAAGAGGCATGATAGCTAGTTAATGTAGTCTCATTAAATAGTCTCATGAAGAATGATAGACAATGAATTTGGAAATATCATTAATAATGAAATACCTAGACAAGTACTATATCAATATCTAGTATTGGTTGAAGGATTTTCTGATAGTAGATTCTATATGTTGGCAGAACTTATTCATGTACAACAATAAATATCAAGCATTTAGCCGTAGTACTAACGGTCATTACAAATAAACACACAGGATGTGCAAGCCTTCTTTAGGTTTAGTGATTTAGTGCAGGCCAAACGGGAAACAGAAATGTCAGGGCTGATAATTTGTGGGCTCATACAATATGTATTTCTGTTTAGAGGCACAAAATATGGGTGGTGGGGGGGGGGGTGTGAATTTACACAAATATCTGCTGCTGCACCTGATTTATCACCGCTGACGGACCGTTGTCTGCAAACTGCATGTGAATTATGAAGTCTGGGAGAAACACTTTCCAATCGGACACAAAGAGAGATCATTTATCCGGCAGAAGCAAAGAGAGAGAGAGAGAGAGACACCTTCTTTATGGTTCAGATCATGAGAACACTGAGGGACTGCAGAGGGGAATATTCAGCACAATCATTCAGAGACTTTACAGAATTGAGTTAGTTAGAAAACACACAGCTCTGCAGGACCTAAACAGTCCTTTGTGTGTTATGGATTTATGAATGCAACATGAATTACTACATATTATTATCTTCTAATAATTATTATAAAAAAACTATGAGAAAAGGGATATATCTGGAGTAAGAAATATATTGTTGAAATAAGTTGTAATATTGAAATATTATAGTATTTGTGTTAAAAAATAAAACAAAGAAAGCTAAAGTTAAATCTGTATATATGGCTATATGTTATACATATATTTCAATATATATATATATATAAATATCGTTGTTTTTTGGGGGGAAAACTGTTTATATTTTTCTAAAATGTTTGACTAATGCCCAAATAATTATAATAATTAAGTTAAAAAATAAAAAATGAAAGTTATAGAACAGATTTGGAAAAAAAAGAGAAAAGTTCAATATTTGATGATTTAAAACGTAATAAAAATTCTTAAATATTGAGAGATAAAAATCACTACTACTAAAAAAATCTGAGTATTTCTTCCTTTCTATCTTAATATCTTTGATCTGTTATCCTGAACGTCCTTTAAACCTGGAGTGTGTCAGTTCTTGATTATTGGACTTTAAAGGGGACCTATCATGCAAAATGCACTTTCTGATGTATTTTATAAATAAACATGTGTCCCCGGTGCGTCGGGGAACTCACGCAGCATCAGAACATAAAACCCTCTAAATCTCTAAAAACGGGGGAACAACGGAGCTGATCCAGATTTGCGTCCGATATGACGTAATATCTGAAATGTGGACCCACGGCCCAATCAGAAACGTTGCTATCAGAAACAATGCCCGACTGTTTTGGACGTAATATGGTCTTTGTTTACATTAGCATCGCTAACACTCAGAGCTAACCTGTACTGGAGAGCATGTGTGTGAAGAAGCAGGAAATAAAAAGGAACTCACCTTGTGGTATAACCGGCAAGAGAGAAAGCCTTTGAGCTCCAGACTGTTTCAGAGAGAATCCTTGATAATCCATGATATGTTGTTTCATCACGGCAGTATTTAGTTTAGACCAGGGGTGTCAAACTCAAGGCCCGGGGGCCAAATCCGGCCCGCAACTTCATTTTCTGTGGCCCCACAAGAGCTTGCAAATAATATAATGTGTTTATTATACGGTTACATGCTACTTTACAGAAGCACGTTGCCCACGACATGTCCCACAATCTCAAAATTGACTTTTTCTCATAATTTGACTTTTTTTGTCCGAATATGCCTTTTTTCTTAGAATTAGCCTTTTTCTCATAATTACATTTTTTTTTTCAAAATGTTACAATCAATGTTTTTCCAGAATGTGGCTTTTCTTTTAAAATCATATTGTGACATTCTTACTGAAGAGACGTGCAATTATTTGCCCTAGACTTCTGCTTTCAGACGTAGTTAATTCAGAAGTTATTACCCTATCCGATAATAATCCAATGCAGAGGCAATCATGTAATATAATACATTATTTTATATATATTCAATATTTATATGTCTTTTTATATAGTCTTAAATTTACAACCGGCCCTTTGAGTGCAACCATAATGCTGATGTGGCCCGTGATGAAATTGAGTTTGACCCCCCCTGGTGTAGACAGTAGCTGCCGGGTCCCGCATGAGCTCAGCCCCCTCCTTTTTAATTTTTGTTATCAATTTTAAAAAAAAAAGCTTTATACCCCAAATCAGCACTTTTGAAACAGGAAGTGAAATAGAGGGATATGAGGCATGGCTAGAACGGGTGATCTGTTTGGTATTTTGAGCAAAACACTTCGTAGAGATTTTTTAAATATATTTTTATATATCTGAGACCTATGCTATTGCCTAGAAATAGCATGATACAGTAGGTGACCTTTAATGAAATAGATTTTAGTACGGCGTAGGTGTGAATCCTTTCAGCACTAATTGTTTCCGCCTTGAAAGGTTGGAGAAATAAGTGACTACAAATGTCAAATATTATTTTTAAATGAAAGTCCAACAAAGGAGAGAAAGCTAAATGGTCGTCAGGTTCACGGCCAAAATCTGAGGAATAGATCAGTCTTTGTCTCTGCTTTTATAAGTCTGGTTGAATAACAAGAATGTCTCCGACTGTTACGTGATAAAATCTTCTGCTACTTTGTGTGTTCTTTTATTAATCTTTCCATACTCTTCTTCCACAAAAGAGGACTTCCACTTACAGAGCTGTTCCAAAAGTGAGGGATGTTTTGGATAGGAAGCTAAATGACTTCTAGTAATGTCCAGCAAGTCAAATTTCCTTTTAATATCGTATGTCTTGGATATCCGAAAACAAATGAGACTTTTTATTTATCTTAGAATTCTTCACGGGTCCAAATGAAAAATTGGACACATACACATTCGTCCATACTATGAAACAGCCCAAAACAGGAAATCGCACATGATGTTTTTGAGAGGTTCAAAATGTAAAATGTCTTGTCTGTTCCCTCTGCAGCCACCGAGATTTGAAGCCCGAGAACTTGTTGTTAGACGAGAAGAACAACATAAGGATCGCAGACTTCGGCATGGCGTCTCTGCAGGTCGGGGACAGTCTGCTGGAGACCAGCTGCGGGTCAGTGAAACCTCAGATAACCTGCATGTTTTCAGTAACAAAGTGTGTATTAATGAGTGTGTGAAGGGTGTGAAAAGCTTTACAATGTAGAAAGGAATGAAAGTGTATTTGGTTTGGTGTGTGTAAGTGCTACTGAATGGAGATTTCTACTAAGAGATGAGGAGGAAATCTAATTTTGAGAAAAAAATGTGATTAAAAAGTGGTAATAATTCAATAAAATGTTTGATATTTACACCATAAAATAATCAAAAATGTCAAGAAAGAAAGCCGATTTTTTTTTATAGATAAAGGTTGTAATATTTGGTGACCAATAGATTAGAAGAGGTTGTAATATTTGATGATTGAAAGTCGGGAAAAAAATTATTAAAGTGATATTTCTGGAGAAATAAATATATTACATTTTTTGTAAAAACTCTTGTAATATTTCTAAAGATTATTAATTCAGATTTGTTATCTAATAAAAAAGTGTTCAAATATCAGGAAAAAGAACAATAACATTTGAATTTTCTAGAAAAAAGTTGTAATATTTAAGACATTTTTTAAAAGATTTAACAAATTCCAAAAAAGTCAAGTTAAATATCGGGAAAGGAATATACAAATAGATTTGATGAAAAACAGACATGTTAAGAAAGCTTAATATGTTTTAAATATGTCCACTGTAGTGTCTCCTCTTACATGCCTTGTCGTGATGAGCTGATCTGGAGTCAGTAGAAACGTTCAGGTCCTGCTTGTTGTTCCTCAGGCTGTTAAAAGCTCTGCAGGATGCCGGCCGGTCCGATCTGTTTCAGAGTCGCTGATGTGGAAAAGATAAAACTCCAGTCCTCGGGCTCCAAAAGTGCTGCACGAAGCACGAGAGGAACAGGAAGTTACAAAATGAACTGCCTGCCTTTAGTATAATCCTTATTAATGAAAGAAATACAGGCACTAGTCACCCTGGAGATAATGCAGAACTTTCTGTAATATCCATCTTATTTTTTTTACAAATGTGCTTACTATTTAAGTTTTTATTGTGATTACTCCTATGAAACTACGTGTGCTTGTACTGCTAAAAAATATTCAAAGGCTATTAGTTATGTGCTGAATCGCCGTAGCGTATTTTTGCGAATAAGTCTTCTCCGACTAAGCAACGTACAATATACTAAGCATGAAGTAGAAAAATACTATAAAATGCAATAAAATACAATAAAATGCAATAAAATGCAATAAAATGCAATTGCAAAGTTGTTTAAAAACAGAAAATATCTTATGACACACTAGACGTTTGATTGTTAGAATAATTTGGTGTTAAAAGTCATAATGTTACGTAGATTTATGTTAAAATTGACAAGTGTTTTGTTGGAAAGAGAATGTTTCTTTTTCATCCAGAATGAATCTAACTGCTCTTTCAACAGATTTTAAAAAGGCTGCTGAAGTGTGCTGTATAGGTTTGAAACGCCTCCATTGGACTCCTTTGTTTACTTCCTGAACATAGTGACGTCCCTATGCTTCTATTGGCTAGCGTTCCAACACATTGTACGTGATAGGCTAAGGGCTGGGACCTCTCTAAGTGGTTGACTAATCACAACAGGGCCGGCTAGCTAACCAATCAGAGCAGACTGGGCTCTGGTTCCAGACAGAGGGTGAGAAGAGGTGCTGCAGCACAGGCAGTATGAGAAAAAGGAAGAGCTTTTTGAACAGTGAATTAATCTTCTCTCAATCAAGTCTCGTGTCCACTTTTGACTGGTTTCACCTGATCACATGACCTTACCATGACCTTAACATTTAAATGTCGTTGCTAATTGTGTGGAATAATTGCCGGGGGATGTGTGCAGAAAGTTTAAAAGTTTACTTTAATGCAACATAACACAGAGGTTAGTGCAAAGTCCATCTGTCAGATTACTTTTCCAGAATGTAAACAGTTGCTTATGAAGCTCCTCTGATGGATCTGTAAATATCTGCTGTGAGTAACAGGTCACATGACTCTTCCTCCTCATGTGACGTTAATGAAATTCATTACATGTCACTGAGTGACGATGGCGTAGACGTCGACTGCAGCCGGACGAACATGTGGTGTCATTAGATCTCAGTTAGTGTGTTAGAGTATTTCACATGGACTGGTTCACATTAGCATAATGAACATGACGCTGGCACTGATGGAGTGTGTTTACTCAGTTTCAGTGAAACGCCGTCACACTCTGCTTCATGCTGCTGGGATGGATCCTCGCAGTGTGGGAATACTTTATCATTTTATTATTCAGAAGACGAGGAAATCATGTGCAGCTATTTACTTCATGTCTGTAGCTCCAGTCCCGACACGCTACTTTATTTACTTTTAGTTATTACCTTAAGTTAATATATAGTTTGTCCGTACATGAGTATAAATAAAACAGGACATACATGTATGCATATTTCTTACATCCAGAAGCAGCTTTTAAAGTAACTTAAAGAAGCAAATCAAATATTATAAATAAATACAATTATTCAAATATAATAATAATAATAATAAATAAAATACATAATTTAAACAATTACAAACACATTTAAACATATTTAGAGTAATATTACTGTTTAATATAAATAACATTTAAATGATTATCTATAATAATACGATTACAAATAACTACAATATATATAATAATACTGATAATAATAATAATACAATACAATAATACTACAATACTACTAATAATAATAATAATAATAATACTACAATAATAATACTGATAATAATAAGATTGATAAAAAAATAATGTATTATTAATAATAAAAAAACATGTATTATTTTAAAGAAAAAACTCATAATCAATAATCATAATAACATTAATTAATAATAATAACTTTAGTAAAGTAGTTAGTTAATAATCTCAGTGTGTTTCTCTGAAGGCATGGGAATATCAAGTCTATAGATTTGTATTTAACAGAAACACTAAGCACTCTTGACTCTCAGTCATTTTACTTAAACTGCTAACTTCAGATGGTGTTGGATAATGTAAATCCTCTTATAAAACAGCCTCGTAACTCACGGTTATAACTTAATTTCGATTAAATAACTTCCCTCCCCTGTGGATGAAACGGTGTCACATGTTATCCAACAGGATGAGCATCCTCTGGATTTTGGATTGGGGACATTTCCTGTGATGTAACTCTCACTTAGCTAAGTACAAAATAATCCACGTCAGGAAATAAAAAAGGTTTTTTGGGTGAAAGCATTTCATATTTTCTTCAGACATTCTCCTCAGTGTGTGTGTGTGTGTGTGTGTGTGTGTGTGTGTGTGTGTGTGTGTGTGTGTGTGTGTGTGTGTGTGTGTGTGGTGTGTGTGTGTGTGTGTGTGTGTGTGTGTGTGTGTGTGTGTGTGTGTGTGTGTGTGTGTGTGTGTGTGTGTGTGTGTGTGTGTGTGTGTGTGTGTGTATGTGTGTGTGTGTAATGCTGTTTTCAGTATGTTTCTGCTTGTGTTCCAGGTCTCCGCACTACGCCTGCCCAGAGGTGATCAGGGTAAGTGCTCCTCTCTCAGTGGCTTGCATGCACTCTGCAGAGAGGCTCTTACGTCACGCTGCATCCTTTTTGCTCTCACAAACTCACTTTATAGCTCGATTAAAAACACCAGCTGGTTGGGAGGCAGCCGTGCATTTCTATCTCAATTTCTTCCCGTTTATTATGTAGAAAACGGGACAAATCTGAACCTCTTTTTCTCTTGACACACTTCTTTATTTATGTCATGTGTTGCCCTTGAGTGTCACACATACATCTTCTGTTTTGTCTATGGAACTTTATAGACGATTAAAAACATCAGCCATGTGTGATGCCTGTCTTCGTACATTTTGTTTCTGTATTTCCTGTAGAAAACACTTTTTTATTAATGTCCCTTTTTGCAAATGAAATTGTAACACTTGGATTTTCCTTTTTATTGTGCTGAAACTCACTTTATAGCTCGATTAAAAACACCAGCTGGTCGTGATACAGCCGTGCATTTCTATCTCAATTCTTCCCCGATGTTCATGTAGGAAACACTGGAGCAATCGGATCCTCTTTTCCCCTGTTACACTTCTTAATGTATGTTTTGTTTTCTAAACAAGAGTGTCACATATCGGTAGTTTTACCAATCATTTTTAGTTTGAGCTGAAACATACTTTATACAGGATTAAAAACATGACCTGTTTGAAATGCAGTTGTGCCTTTCTGCTTGAACACAGCCGTTTTGGTTTCTGTGGAGAAGTCTGACCCCTTTCCTCCCAGTAACTCTCCTCAATTCATTTTCTGTTTTGCTTATCCAAAAAATGAGAGAAAACGCTAAATAAACAACGTTTAAAATAATTCTTTCAAGGTTTATTAGAAATGGAAAACCAAAAAGCTGTTTTTAAACATAAAAGAATAAGTTATATTACTGCATTCAAAATGTTACAAAGACCAAAATCAGAATATACCAAAGTGCAGTAGACTTATAAACTGACTGAGAGAAAACACTCACGTGAAGTAAAAGTAATCGTACTTGGTTACTAAAGTCTAAACTCAAACCTATTGCTGTCCAAGTCACTTTTTAAAACTCAGGAAATGACTAATCAGGTAGACGAGGTGAAGAAAAAACCCTCGTCCATAAATAACTCCTGCATCAGCCTCGCAAATCGCTGCCGTTACGTTGCGTGATTATCTATTTATATACAGGTTTCTCCATTAAGCACAGCGAGCAGGGTGATTTACAGTTTTGTGAAAGTATTAAAAGGAGAGGTTGTGATGTGTTTGTGTTTCAGGGGGAGAAGTATGACGGCAGGAAAGCTGACGCATGGAGCTGCGGAGTCATCCTGTTTGCACTTTTAGTGGTGAGTGACTAACCTGCAGCAAATAACCTGAACTCACTCCTTAAAGTGGAAGAATCTCACCCAAAATGCTGCTTTTCAAATGAATGAATACTGGACCACTTTATAGTTATGTCATCCAGTAGTTTAAATGTTGAGTTACTGAATAACTGGATTTTTTAAATGTTTTATTTAAGGCTTGAATCACAGGCTAACATCAGTATTTCACACTATCAGGAATGTTTTTGGTAGAATATAATTGTTCCTTTTATATTATTTTATCAGCTTATACGAAGGTAATGGTTTAAACCTGATATCCTTGATTCTGGGTTCAAAGCTATACCGAAAGTTGTTCTCGATTCTCAACAAAGTGGTGCTTTTTTCACTATCGCTGGTAAACTGTGGCATATAATCGCAGGACAGCCGACTGAAGTGTTAAAAGATGAGAAGTTAAAAGTTATCTTAAAGGCGGGGTAGGTAATTCACTTCAGAAACACTTGTTATATTCCATGGAATGCTCTTAACATCCCGATAGCAATGAATACATGAAATGCTTTGACAAAAAATCCATTAAAAAAAGTCATCTGTGGAAGCCGTGGCGCTGGAAAAAGCACGACCAATCATCTGAGCCGGCCCGGCTAAAGTAACTGGACGGCCTACCTGCCTGTCAGCCTTCCATCTGTGCACAAACTGATCTCGTGCCCTCATTGGTCATGTGCGCGTTCCTGTGTGTTGGAGGAGGGGCTCTGGAAGGAAGTGGCAGATTTTTTCCGGTTGTGTATTTTAAAATTCTAGCGCACTCGAGCTGGTTTCTCCAGAATCACCTACCCCACCTTTAAGACACATTTGTTAACTGAAGTTTTACCCTAAAGTAGTTGACAGCTCTAAAAGTCAAAATGTCTCTTTTAGGGTTTTGTACATTAAGCAGATTTTTTTCGGCTGCGTATTTTCAAATTCTGGCGCACTCGAGCTGGTTTCTCCATTCTTACCTACCCTACCTTTAAATGATTGCAATAATGTAAACACACAAAGACACACTAAACACAAAATATGCTGTTTAATAAAGCTAAACTGCCCCCTTAGACATTTAAGACCGGACGTTTGTTTAATATATACATAAATCCAACATTTATACAACGTCACTCAAGTATAAGAGATGCTGTAATGTCTTAAAGGTCTTCTTGTTTTACACCGAGTGGGATTGAATTAAAGATGGATGCTGGAAAGACCTGCGTGTACATATAAAACATTTAAACCACATTATAAATAAAAGAAAGATGAAACTGCCCCTGTGCTTTTATATCCCATATTTCTAAGTGTTAACAGACATGATACAATGTATGGAAGCTTCATTATATTGATGATTCACTCTATGCAACTACATATTTAGCAAAGCGCTATATATATATTAAACATAATCAGGACAGCAGGAAGTCTACACATCTTCCATCACAGAATGAAAGTAGTTCCCATTTGAAATATTATATTCAGAGTCATTAGCCTCTTGTTGTGTATTTTCCCGTGTAGAAAAACACACATCACAACTACAACTTCCCACAGCAGCTCTTTAATGGGACAGTGACGAGTGAGAGGCAGCAGCTAGACGACATGTTTGTTTCTGTGCATGTGTTTTAGTTTCTACATTAAGAGGGAGCACTCAACACACTCATCACGTTCAGATAAACCTCTCCACTTTGTCAGTGTGCCGGCGGCCATCTGCTGCCAGCCTCCCAGTGAGGAGGAAACTGTCCTTCATCACGTCACTGAAGCTGCCTCGTCATCGCTGACTCTGATCTCACCCGTAACCGGCATCCTTAAAAAAGTCCTGGTTATTTCTCAGGGACAGAAATGTACCTGAGAACAGGAGTTAATGCCAGTGTTTTATTCAGACACAGCGACCTGTGTCAAAGATATCAACAAGACTTAACCATTGAATTATTTAACTTTATCATCTCACAGAAAGAAAGCTTTGTTTTTTAATTCTGGATTTGACTCTTTTAAACACTTATTTTATTTTGATTAACCACATGATACGCAAAACATAAAGCTGTAAGTAACTTGAAAGATAACGTGTTGGAAATGTTTTAAAAGGCATCAATAGTGACAGAAAGCAAGAAAGGAAGTTGCGACAATTTGATTGGAAGGGGCATTTTCTCTGGGTTAATTCTTTATATTTCTGACCTGCAGGTGTCGGAGATTTGCTCAGAGTGTAATGAAGACATTATGCCCTCAGTCCTCCCTTATTTGAGGGGAAATAGTGTAAAAGTAATGCATTACTCTTGTTAACCTCTTTATTTCGAGGTATCAGATATAGAGTGGTTGTTTCGTTGAATATGTTAGCCTCGTCTGCTTAACTTCTGGATCAATTATCCAACAGAGGTTTATTCACGTCAGAATCTTTGGCTCTAAAATATTAGTGACTTAAAGCCAGTTTTTACTCGCTGAAGTTTTGTCGGAGTGAGGGTGAACATGGGTGTCAAACTCAATTTCATCGCGGGCCACATTCGCATAAAGGTTGCACTCAAAGGGCCAGTTGTAACTATATAAATATATAATATATATATATAAAATAATGTATTATATTACATTACTGCCTCTGAATTGGATTATTATCGGATAGGATAATAACTTAGTTATTGACTACGTCTGAAAGCAGAAGTCCAGGGCTAATAATTGCAAGTCTCTTCAGTGTGCATGTCACAAAACGAGATGCATTGTGGGACATGTAGTTTATGGGCAACCTGCTTCTGTAAAGTATCATGTAACCGTATAATAAATGCATTATATTCTTTGCAAGCTATTGCGGGGCCACATAAAATGAATTCGCGGGCCGGATTTGGCCCCCGGGCCTTGAGTTTGACACCCCTGTGCTAGAAGTAGCCTCACTTATTTTGTGCACCTCTGAATTGTTGTTATAGGCTTTTGTTAATAGAGTTCTAGACTTACTCTGCCACAAAAAGCCTGCTGATAGAAGCAACTTTAATCAAGAAGGTAAATAATGATGTATTTCTCGCTATATTGTGTGTTGATTGTAAAAGATCTGGTTTAAAAACAGTACTTTGAGTAAATATGTTAAATCAAATTGTCAATATGTTCACTCTCCTGTTGAATATGTGTCCTCTCTTCCTTCTCCCCCTTGTAATACGAACTGTTACAATTGTGTGCAAAAAACCTGCAATGTGCAATACAGACACTTTCTTTTGCAAACTGTTCAATCATCACTTTCATGTGAAGTTTTTAGAAATGTCCCAAAATGTTTCATTCAGTTTTTATGTCTCAACACTGCAATATGCTACTAATGTCAATGTAGCTTTAGCAAAGTTAGCTTACTCTATTATTGCATGCCTTATTTTACTTAATATGCCACATTTGCTATGCCACTGTAAATGTCACTGCTCCGGGACTAGTAAAGTGATTCCTCCTCCTCCTCCTCCTCCTCCTCCTCCTCCTCCTCCTCCTCCTCCTCCTCCTCCTCCTCCTCCTCCTCCTCCTCCTCCTCCTCCTCCTCCTCCTCCTCCTCCTCCTCCTCCTCCTCCTCCTCCTCCTCCTGCAGGGCGCTCTGCCCTTCGATGATGATAACCTGAGGAACCTCCTGGAGAAAGTGAAGCTGGGAGTTTTCCACATGCCTCACTTCATCCCTCCGGACTGTCAGAACCTCCTCAAGGGGATGATCGAGGTGGACGCCGGCAAGAGGCTCACGGTGAGACCCTCAATCTCAATCTTTATTTATTAATAGAGAACATTTAAAACAACCTCGGTTGACCAAAGTGCTGTACAGGGAATACATACAATATAGAATAACACAATGGGAGTAAAATAATAAGACAATAATGAAAAACATGATAAGAAGCACAATAACTAGAAACATAAAAACTCATACAAATATAAAAATGTTTTGTTCAACTAGTGTTAAAAGCCAGTGCAAAGAATTAGAGGTTTATTCACGTCAGAATCCTGTCTGTGAACTCCTTCTCTAAACTCCTGCTCCTCCTTTCCTATCTCCACTGTCTGGGCTAATCTTAGCAGCATGACTAACATCTGCATTATCTTTTTATCTCAGGCCAAGGTTTTGTTTTTGGCTCAGAATAGAAACGTCACAAAAGGCTGTTTTTAAACAATGTGCTCTCACTGGTGTCTGCAGCTGTTTGAACGTTGGAGCTGCAATGTCTGTACATCTTATACAAATGTGATTAATGGATATTCATTCATCCATAAGCTCAATAACAGCAGTTATTTGTACTTGCATTTTATCTTTTATTGTGTTCCTTATCAATAAAAAGTGTCATTAATGTTTGTTTCCTCTCCTTTGTGTTACAGTTAGAGCAGATCCAGAAGCATACGTGGTACCTGTAAGTAAATCTTGATTTTATTCATATCTGTCTGTGTTGATTGTCTGATCTGGAAGTAGTTAGGAAAATATCTCTCGACACCGAGTTGAGAATCAATAGTCAGGTACTAATTTATTCTTGCAAGAAGGAGCAGAGTTACAAAGGATATGGTTCAACTCACACACATGACGTATGCTGCTCAAGGGAGCAGGAAGTAACATCAAGCTTATATAGTCTAAAGCAGGGGTACTCAAATACAAATCTTAAAGGTCCAAAATAAATGTTTCAATAAGACAAAGGTCCATTTATTACGGTCATTCAAACTTTTAAACAATTGCAACAAGATTCTTAACACGAGGTTGCAAAAACAAAAATAATCTGTATGCAGCAGTTTTCATTGTTATTGTGTCTGTACTTGACCCCTCAGAGTCGCAGTGTAAGAGCTGCACAGTTATGAATAAAGGCAGCTGCACCCTCTTTCATTCAGCATTCCCATTATTGCTTTATAAATGTCTTGCCCCCTTGTGTGTCCACTGAGGTTCGTCAGGCCCAACACATCTTCAACAAACTCCCCATTTGCCTCATCATAAAAACTCACAAACACCAGCAACTGAGCATTGTCAGTGGTGTGAGTGGACTCACCCACAGCTAAGGAAATGCACTGTGCATTTTTTATTCCATCATAAAGCTGATGAATCAAATCACCAGCCAGTATGTATGTTCTTCTGGTTGCTGTGGAATCTGAGAGGGGGATTTGCTTGTTTTGACCTGTTATTTCCTCTTTTCGTTTGCCTTCAACATGGTCTCCATCACTTCAGTCATGCATTCTTTTATACTCAGTTATTATCCAGTGGAAAGTCCTTACCTACTGGCCTAGTTCAATCAAAGTGGTTACTTTTTTTTGGCTAGGCAGTGTAGTTTTAAACACCGTCTTATTTGACTTTCTCAGGACTTAAAACAGTTTTTTGGGGGCAGACCCCCTCAAAGAAAAAAATATATTTACACACGTAAGGTCATCATCTTAATAGTTGTGTATGCTCATCCGAGAGCAGAGCATCAAGTTGACATGTCTATTACAGCTGAATGCGGCGATTACCATCTTGTTCAGCAAAACGCATCACAAACGTATTAAGATCAACAGCTTTAGTGCGTTTTGATTCAATGCTGAGTACAGCCAAACTGACAGTCTCTTCTCTGTCAGTGTAGACCGCAAATACCTCATTCCTTCAGTGCTTGGGTCCGAATGCTTCTCGTTTTGCGCCGTCCAGTTAAAAATGAAATCGCCGCCAATCGTATTTCCACACTCGCGCCAGGACCGGGGGAGGGGTTACATGACGTGCATCTTGTGCTGCATTCACTTGCACTCGGACATTAGAGACTTTCTCTCATAAATGTCCGATGAGCCACAACTTTTCTTTCAAAACAAAGCTGCCAACTGGGGTGGCAGCTGGGGTGGCAAGGCCTATTTTTAGGGTGTCAGTTGCCACCCCGGTAGGTGAAACTAGGCTACTAGCTACAGTACAGATGGAACTAGATGAGCTGTTAACTCTCGCTCTGATTTTTTTTTGTTTTTGTTTTAATTCTCGCTCTGACTTAGACAGGTTGAAAGAGACACACACAATTTTCCCACCCGCATTCCGCGAAGACCCGCCCTACTGTGCCTCTGATTCGCAGATTGTTTGGGGGGAAAAACGCTGACTGGATGCTGAATGTGATTGGACCAAAGCGTTGACACACACAGGTGGAACACAGTGGAACAGTCAGACATGCAGAGCGCTGTTTGCAGTGGACATAGCGGAGAATTTTGACTCGTTGCGAATGCGTTGTGGCGATGTCTCACATATAATACAGAGAGATCATACATATGAAAAGTATAATTTGCTCAGAGTCCGGAGACAGTGGTGGTTCGGTCCGGATCCGGACTGGAGTCCGTAGTTTGAGGATGCCTGCTCTAAAGTCAGGAGGTACCAAACAGTGTCGTAAATCGGTTTGGCGTCATCAGGTGTCGGGAAGGCGTCGGGACATCTCTGGAAAGGCAGTGTTGCTCTTTGCCCCTCAGAGAGAGGAGACAAAGTGTGTGTGCTCTCGTTGGTATCGACAACAGGAATGATGCCCTGCCTTCACCTATCTACGAAGAGGCAGCTGCGAGGTCACACAGTGCAAAGTCACACACAGTATCATGCCCATCAGAAAACCCATAATAAAGAGGTCAATGGTTTTCTGAATGTGTTTTGGGGTGTTGAAATAAGATCTGAGGTTAAAACAAGCTGAAGAGATTTTAACATTTGGTTCTAACTTCTACAACATAAACTACATCAGTAAATACCCCACTGGTGAATTTAGAAAGGGCTGTTGCTAACAAGTGTCTAAATGAGATGACTAAACGTCATCACAACCAACATTAGCCTCCTTTAGCTTAGCGGTGGTGACGTGAAGTCATGTGACCGTGCTGTAGTTCCTTTATAGCCCAACATTAGCCTCCTTTAGCTTAGCGGTGGTGAGGTGAAGTCATGTGATTGTGCTGTAGTTCCTTTATAGCCCAACATTAGCCACCTTTAGCTTAGCGGTGGAGGCGTGAAGTCATGGGACCGTGCTGTAGTTCCTTTATAGCCCAACATTAGCCTCCTTTAGCTTAGCGGTGGTGACGTGAAGTCATGTGACCGTGCTGTAGTTCCTTTACAGCCCAACATTAGCCGCCTTTAGCTTAGCGGTGGTGACGTGAAGTCATGTGACCGTGCTGTAGTTCCTTTATAGCCCAACATTAGCCACCTTTAGCTTAGCGGTGGTGACGTGAAGTCATGTGACCGTGCTGTAGTTTCTTTATAGCCCAACATTAGCCGCCTTTAGCTTAACGGTGGTGACGTGAAGTCATGTGACCGTGCTGTAGTTTCTTTATAGCCCAACATTAGCCACCTTTAGCTTAGCGGTGGTGACGTGAAGTCATGTGACCGTGCTGTAGTTCCTTTATAGCCCAACATTAGCCACCTTTAGCTTAACGGTGGTGACGTGAAGTCATGTCACCGTGCTGTAGTTTCTTTATAGCCCAACATTAGCCACCTTTAGCTTAACGGTGGTGACGTGAAGTCATGTGACCGTGCTGTAGTTCCTTTATAGCCCAACATTAGCCACCTTTAGCTTAGCGGTGGTGACGTGAAGTCATGTGACCGTGCTGTAGTTCCTTTATAGCCCAACATTAGCCACCTTTAGCTTAGCGGTGGTGACGTGAAGTCATGTGACCGTGCTGTAGTTCCTTTATAGCCCAACATTAGCATTTTACTTCAGAAATCATAAAGTGGTGTTAATATGTGGAGATTATCCTGCTGAACTAAACTTGTGACTATCTATCAATCAATCAATCAATCAATCAATGTTTATTTATATAGCCCAATATCACAAATGTTACATTTGTCTCAGTGGTCTTCACAGTTTCATGTGACTATCATAAACGTTTGTTTGACGCAGAGATTATTTTCTGTTGTAATCCAAAATCTATATATTACATCCACTCAGATGTAGTTTTCTTTGTTCCTGCTGCAGAGCGGGGAAGAACGAGCCAGAGCCGGAGCAGCCCGTCCCGAGGAAAGTGGCCATCCGGTCGCTGGCTGCGGCCGAGGAGATCGACCCGGACGTCTTGGAGAGCATGCACTCGCTCGGCTGCTTCAGAGACAAGGAGAAGCTCCTCAAAGATATGCTGTCGGAGGAGTGAGTGAAGATCACAGATTTAACTTATATTCGCACATTTTTGTTTCGTGACATTTTTCTTATATCTTTGTAGATTTTGAACCTATTTTTTTAAAAACTTTCAGAATTTTTGTTTTTTTAGCATTTGAGGTTCTATTTTGCTGCAGTTACGTTTATTTTATTATTTATTTATTGACCTTTTTTACTTTTCAAACAATACTTTAAACATATCACATCCAAGCGTCTTCCACTTATTGTTGTGGACATTTTGCAACTTTTCTGCGAAACTATCGAAACATTTACAAATATTTTTAACACATTTTTTAGGGGGAAAATAGTTGTTAGTCTGCTTAAAAGTTTCCTTATTTACTTGCATTTTCATATATTATTCTAAAATTGAAATATTTTTTGCATATTATTAGGACATTGTTCTCATAGGGAGAGGAGCAGACAAATGAATGAATCTCCAGAGTGAGTTTGTCTTCCTGTCCCCTTCTTAACTAACGGACCCTCACTCTCCTCTCTGCAGAGAAAACCAGGAGAAGATGATCTACTTCCTGCTGCTGGACCGAAAGGAGAGATATCCGAGTCAGGAGGACCAGAACCTGCCGGCACGCACCGAGATCGGTAGGTTTATCTGGAGGAAATCCACAACATAACATTTATCTGCTGACATTCAGAAGTTTGTAGCTTTCACTTTTCTTCAATGTTTCACTTAATTCTTTGGAAAGTCACTAAACATTTTTTTTTTTTTACATTTTCAACAAAAGTGTTCGAATCTGTTCCAAACTTTTTTTGGACAATTTTCACTTACATTTGGACACTTTAAAACAAAAAAGAATCTGAATACTTTTGGGGAAAAAAGCTGTCGGACACTTTTTGAAATGTTTTGTTTTGTACTTGATATAAGTAATTTTTTTCATATTTTCCAAACTTTAATTCACATATTTTTTTCAATGTTTTTAACACAATTTCAGTCACTTTTTTATGACATTTTCGACCTTCTCTGAGTATTTGTCAGACATTATTTTTCACATATTTAGTTCCAACATTTCAAAAAGAAATTCCAAAATACTTTTAGAAATGTTTCAGATAATTCTGAAGACACTTTGACATACTTTTATGGGCATTTTTCCAATATTTTCAGATTTGTTTTCCTATATAGTGAAATGCTACAGTTTTCTGACTGCTCTCTCTCCTATTTGTCGTCCCTCTGTTGACCTTCGACCTGCCGTTGCTCAGCAGACCCTCCGAGGAAGCGCGTGGATTCCCCGATGCTGAGCCGGCACGGTAAACGGAGGCCGGAGAGGAAGTCCATGGAGGTGCTGTGCGTCATGGAGGGGGGGTCCCCGGTCCCCGTACGAAGAGCCATCGACATGGCAACCCACGGCCAGAGGTGAGACATGCACACATGGCTGTCGGGTTAAATAATGCATTTAACCTCAGTTTGGTGAAATTAAGGGAGGAAATATTTTTAAATTAAAAGTCCACTTCCCCGACTGTTGTCCTCAGTCGTAAATCCTTCCCTCCTTCACCGAACTGCAGTTAAAACATGACGCATCGTTCTGGCTCTGTCGCTGCTGATGTAAAGTTTGAGACCTGACATTAACTCCTGTTCAGAGGGCTGTTAGATCTGCAAAAATCCTTAAAAAAGGGTTAAAATGCATGAACAGGACTCAGGTTTGTGCGTGGTGTATGTCTAAGTGTGCATGGAGCATGTAGTCAAAGAGGAGAAGAAGCATCCCTGTTTAATAATAATAATAATAAAGAGATATTTTCATAGACAGGATGCAGCTCAAAGTGCTTCGATAGTTTGATATTTAGGCCTGAAACGCCTCCTTTGGACTCCTTTGTTTACTTCTCGAACATCGTGACATCACTAACACTCACGGCCCGTCTACACTACAGGCATCAAAAAATCTTGAAGGTGGGCGTGTCTGAAGCTTGGCAATTTTTTGCGACCAACATCCAATCACATGAATCTCCCGCCCCCGACATACAAAGCAATAGCAATGTTAAAACGAAGTAAACTGGATATAAAATCCCCAAACAGGCGAAAACCTACCAGTTTCACCCACTGTCTCTGCCACCTCCCTCCATGCCTGGTTCCTCAGGTTTGTATCCCGGTAAATAGTTCTGGTCGGAAAGAACCGGGTGATTTGCTACCGTAATTTCTCGTTTGGAATATGAGGAAATGAACTGCGGTCTGGCTCTCCCAGCTTGCACGCGGTTTGATTGGCTAGCGCTTGTACTGGCGGGATTTGTATAAACGGGATTTGATTGGCTGATGCCAGCTTCGAAAGCATCAGGAGCATCAAAAGTTGAACATTGCTCAACTTTTGATGCTCACGATGCTTGCAAAGCCATGCTCCGCTCCCCACAATGCAGTTCGGCGAAGATTCAAAATCTTCTACGTCACCCCATTCAAATGAATGGGCGAAGCGTTGAAAGCATTTTCCGATGCCTGTAGTGTAGACGGGCCGTCATGTTCTATTGGCTAGCACTCCTAGCTGTTAACCAATCACAACAGGCAGTATGAGATAAATAAAGAGCTTTTTGAACATTAAAGCATGGAGACATGTCCCAGGAGAGTCTACTAAAATAAATCTGAAAATTATTTTAAATAAGGACTCTTTAAAAGATACAGGGCAATGCACTGAAAGCTAAAACCGGACTAAAGTGCTCGGTTTTTCTTGTTAAAATCCTGGCAGCGTAGTCCTAAAGAACCCGTGGTTTCTCAATTTACTTTTTGTAAGACGACTTAGAATAAGTGCATTCAACCATGAAGAAACAAACTCAAAAGCAAGAATCCTGCAGGTACATTTCCTGTCTATAAACCAACCAGATTAAGTGCTACTGCATTAGCTTCATTTAAAGCCAAATCCTTTGTAAATGCTACGTACAGTAAAAGATGCCGTCAAAACAGGTGAGTTTTCGGTCTACAAGGGAAGACCTTTATAAAGACACCGACGCATTAAAAAATCTTTTCAGCATCTTGTTCATTCATGTGAAAAAAAAGCCTTTAAAATGTACAGCATACGATAAGGCATGTGTCTTTTGTTTATACTGCCTATCAGGACATAGGTTTTGCATTTTGAGCATGAATGGACAGAAAATAAAACGTTTCTTCTTATAAACCAGCACACTTTGGCATCAGCAGGTGGAAGAAAGCTGTTTTTGTTACCTTTCTAATATGAGAGGAGGTTCACTCTTCATTTCTTTGTCATAGAGCCTCTCCTCACATTCGACAATAGTTAAATAAATGAAAGGGCTCATGCATGACCCATGAACGTGTTCCACCTCCTGGTTTCTGGACCTGTGCATGAGTTCTTGTGTTTCCTTTTATTTTGTTGTGTTTTTATTTTCTAGTTTTTGATGCATGATCAACATTAGCCTCCCCTTATGTGACAACCTTTCTGTTTGTCTCTCGGTTTTTTCTGTCTGCTCCTTTTTAGCAAATCTGTGTTCAGTAAAAGCTTGGATATCACAAACGCTAACTGCAGCAAGGAGGAAAGGTATTGGTCGGCTCCGCTCCGTTTCTGTTTGTCCCGTCAGATCCATTTTTCTTCTATTCCATTTTTACCATCCACTAGTTTTGTTTTGTTAGTGGTTTAATTCCTCTCCATTTCTTTGTGTTCCACTTTTAAATGTTGCATGCTAAAACCATTTATGTATGTGACAAATAACCTGTTTGTGTCGTTTATTGTAGAAGTCTTTTAAATGTTTGACTTTTCTGACACAAAAATGATATAAAATGAGTGAATCAAAAAATCTCCATAAAAACATGCTGGTTATTTCAATCCGTCTCCAACACGGTCCAAAGGCAAATTATTCAAGCGTAAGTATCGTTGTCTTGAGATCAGACAAAAAACGTTCAACAAGTTTCCAAAAAATACCTCTTAATGTGGAAAGTTCCTGTTTTAAAATGACCGTGCTGCACCACTTGTTTTTAAAGAATCAGATTATTTTAGCTTTTACATATTTAGCAGATGTTTGACTCATGCTGCACATTCAAGTCTGCAAAGTGGCCTGAAACACCACCAAGAATCGTGCCCCCTTTTCATTAACAGAGTAAACAGTGATACCCAAACCCTTATTTACTGTATTGGGTCACAGTCTGATGAGGAGCACGATATCGTCCTCTGATAAATCGGAAAATCTAGCCCACTCTTTCCTCTTCAACGTTCCTCCCTAAGCCCTCGGGGGAAAAGAGAATTTTTAGGTCAACTTTTCTGTTTCCTTCCCCCCATCTTCACTCCTCTGTGTGTGTGTGTGTGTGTGTGTGTGTGTGTGTGTGTGTGTTTATATTTGTTTTGTTTTGACAGTGAAGCTCAGGGAAGCCTCCCAGTGTGTCTGACCTTGTGTCGGGGAATCTCAGTTTGCCGATGGATTTTCTGAGATTAGCATAAATTAATTGGCAGGAATGCAGATGGAGCAAACACACAAGATGAAAAATACATGATGCTTTTAACTCACACTCAATATTCCTTTATGTAATTGAGAAGACCCTTAAGATGAAGCACACACACCACTGGTAATGATTAATATTCATATTTCAGAGACTAACTCAAGCTTCACATTATTAAGCTGCTTGTTAATACAGTAGATGCTCCTTTCTGAAGTGACTCCTCTTCTTCATTAATGCAGCGTCGTTATGTGCTTCCTCAATCATACTTCACATTAAATCTGTGACTCTGATCGCAGATAGAGAATCACTGAAGAGGCTCTGATTAACACGCTTCTTATTTATTTATATAACTATTGTTGCGACCTGGATACTGAGGGCGCATCCACAAACGCTGACAAAGAAGCCATAATATATTGCCTATACCCAATCAGAAAGCAAAGTACTCAACTGTCAACACGCCTGGGCGAAAAGACAAAACCCAACAGAGAATTCCCCCCTAACTGCCTTACCAAAATCTTCCTAATCTCACCTAGTCTTCATGTGGCTTGCGGCGGGTAATTACGCACTGGAACCCGGCGGATTTATGGAGCGACCTGCACGCAGGTAACACCAAGAAATCACGCGGATGTGCCCCCGAGACAGCTGTCCGAAAACAGCTGACACCAACCACGTCGCCACAACACTATGAAAAAAACAAACAGACGGAACCCAAGGGGAAACGCCACTTAAGCCTAGCGGGGAAAATCTCTTTTACAAAAGCGTAACAAACAGCAATATCTTACCTTCTGATTGGCACACAAAACCTGATGCCATGTCAAACACTAAAGCATCCTGAAACCCAAAAGACATGATGTGTCCCCCAAATAGCAGCGCAGAGCCAGCACACAGCTGGACCACAACAATGAATCAGCTGCTCAATGAGCACTACACAAACTTTTTAAATAAATAACCCTTCGGACGAGCCCCCATTTGTTGCGACCTGGCTCAAAAGGCCACAACAAAAAGGAGACACAACATGTCAACGGGTAGGTAAAGGTGTTTATTTGCACAACACTGGTCAATTCAACACATTGGTTATACTCATCAGAGCCGGGTGCCTGCAGGAAAACAGCGCGAGAGCAGACAGGAGCAGAGAGGCTTTAAAATAGCTGCAGAGCACCAGACCCAGGTGCCCTGAGTTAATGCAATCACTGCAATCAATGCAGCCAAGACAGGACAGCCACACCCTCTCCACTGATGAACCCACAGGGGCATCACACTATGCACACACATCCTTTACATGCCGATATTATTAACTTCTGAAAACAGATGGGGAAAATCTCAAATTATTTATATTTACACTGAACAAAAATATAAATGCAACACTTTTGTTTTTGCTCCTATTTTTCATGAGATGAACTCAAAGATCTGAAACATTTTCTATTTACACAAAATAACCATTTCTCTCAAATATTGTTCACAAATCTGAAAAAATCTGTGATAGTGAGCACTTCTCCTTTTCCGAGATAATCCATCCCACCTCACAGGTGTGGCATATCAAGATGCTGATTAGACAGCATGATTATTGCACAGGTGTGCCTTAGGCTGGCCACAATAAAAGGCCACTCTGAATCGTGCAGTTTTGCTTTATTGGGGGGGTCCGAAAACCAGTCAGTATCTGGTGTGACCACCATTTGCCTCACGCAGTGCAACACATCTCCTTCGCATAGAGTTGATCAGGTTGTTGATTGTGGCCTGTGGAATGTTGGTCCACTCCTCTTCAATGGCTGTGCCAAGTTGCTGGATATTGGCAGGAACTGGAACACGCTGTCGTATACGCCAATCCAGAGCATCCCAAACATGCTCAATGGGCGACATGTCCGGTGAGTATGCTGGCCATGGAAGAACTGGGATGTTTTCAGCCTCCAGGAATTGTGTACAGATCCTTGCAACATGGGGCCGTGCATTATCATGCTGCAACATGAGGTGATGGTCGTGGATGAATGGCACAACAATGGGCCTCAGGATCTCGTCACGGTATCTCTGTGCATTCACAATGCCATCAATAAAATGCACCTGTGTTCGTCGTCCATAACATACGCCTGCCCATACCATAACCCCACAATCACCATGGGCTACTCGATTCACAACATTGACATCAGAAAACCGCTCACCCACACGACGCCACACACGCTGTCTGCCATCTGCCCTGAACAGTGAAAACCGGGATTCATCCGTGAAGAGAACACCTCTCCAACGTGCCAGACGCCATCGAATGTGAGCATTTGCCCACTCAAGTCGGTTACGACGACGAACCGGAGTCAGGTCGAGACCCCGATGAGGACGACGAGCATGCAGATGAGCTTCCCTGACGGTTTCTGACAGTTTGTGCAGAAATTATTTGGTTATGCAAACCGATTGTTGCAGCAGCTGTCCGAGTGGCTGGTCTCAGACGATCTTGGAGGTGAACATGCTGGATGTGGAGGTTCTGGGCTGGTGTGGTTACACGTGGTCTGCGGTTGTGAGGCCGGTTGGATGTACTGCCAAATTATCTGAAACGCCTTTGGAGACGGCTTATGGTAGAGAAATGAACATTCAATTCATGGGCAACAGCTATGGTGGACATTCCTGCTGTCAGCATGCCAATTGCACGCTCCCTCAAAACTTGTGCTGTGTGATAAAACTGCACGTTTTAGAGTGGCCTTTTATTGTGGCCAGCCTAAGGCACACCTGTGCAATAATCATGCTGTCTAATCAGCATCTTGATATGCCACACCTGTGAGGTGGGATGGATTATCTCGGCAAAGGAGAAGTGCTCACTATCACAGATTTTTTCAGATTTGTGAACAATATTTGAGAGAAATGGTTATTTTGTGTATATAGAAAATGTTTTAGATCTTTGAGTTCATCTCATGAAAAATGGGAGCAAAAACAAAAGTGTTGCATTTATAGTTTTGTTCAGTGTATATATATATTCTTAACGTAAAAAGAAAATATGATTTGAAAAACACGATGCAGAAATATATAAAATATTCATAATAATAATAATATCATAATAATGATTTAAAAATGAAATCCAAATTATTATAAATAATAGTAAAGTTATAATATATTAAATATGTGTTGAGTTATAATACAATTAATAATATTATTTATTATAATAAATACACATATAATTATAATATCATTGTGAATAATAATAATAATAATAATGAAATTAAATGTAATAACATTGAAATAATAATTATTAATAATAATACACAAATATATCTCGTTGAAATTAGAAAATATATAGGGTTTTATTATATCGGACATATAAAATTGGCATACATGTTTCTGTCTAACAAATGTTGTGTCAGGCCAATAAAGCAAGTGCGGAGGAAACACCAAAGCTTCATGATCGGGAAAAATCGACTCTAAAAACCTTGATGCAATGATTCCTTGCTGGACATGGAAAAATGCAGTTTTACTTTAATTTAGTTATGTTATGCCATTTGTATATTTTACTTGTATTGAATGTGTGATGGACAATGAACACACATTGCAATCAATTAATAAAAAATGTAAAAATGCATCAGAACAGCAAAACACTACATGATACAAGGATTAATAAAACACAAGGAATATATTTATCTGGTATTTAAAAGGATATGTTTTAAACTCAAATAATTTAACATTTGAGTCGTGAGTAAGTGGCATTTTGAACATATATCACTTTAAAATCAGAAAATAACTGGAGGAAGAATGAACATCAAAAAACAAACAACGCTTAAGGATACATTATGTCGACAGGGACAGTATTTACTTGGGTTATTAACCACAGACATGATCGTTTACTTTCTTCTTAGAGTAAAAACAATTACACTTTTACCACATAACGAGTATTTTTTATTAACGAGAGAAACAAAGCAATAACAAGAATTATACTAGAAGGAAAAACATGACCGCCATTACCAATGAGCACTTTCGTGTGATGAATGAAAAATGTCTTGTATGTTAACGTCGTCGTGAGAAAGCGAATTTAATGCCAGTGATGTCATCCGTGTGTGTGTGTGGGTGTGTGTGGGTGTGTGTGTGTGTGTCTTCAAGCATATTTAATTATGATTTACTGATTTTCATTTTTCTCTTCCAACAAAGCCAAATTGTCTATGGGCAATTAAATCCCAACGTCTTCAAAGACATTGGCATGGTTTTTGGTTAAGATTGTGTATGTGTGTGTGTGTGTGTGTGTGTGTGTGTGTGTGTGTGTGTGTGTGTGTAGGATCAGATATGAAAAGTTAATGATACGTAAATGGAAAACCTCATGAAGAGAAGAAAGCAGAAATGGTGCTATAGAATGTTGCTGTGTGTGTGTGTGTGTGTGTGTGTGTGTGTGTGGTGTGTGTGTGTGTGTGTGTGTGTGTGTGTGTGTGTGTGTGTGTGTGTGTGTGTGTGTGTGTGTGTGTGTGTGTGTGTGTGTGTGTATGTGTGTGTGTGTGTGTGTGGTGTGTGTGTGTGTGTGTGTGTGTTTAAATGCTGACATGTCTGTACTTTTTATTGAATTAAACCAATGATGCTGTTCTTGTTGAAGTAACTTATATCCAAATGAATGGGGATTCCTGACCCATTTTCATCATAAGAAAAAGAAAAGTCCCCACATTTTATTTTGGTTTTCAATGTAGCCGTTTAAGTTTGTACAACATTAAAATGTCATTAAAATCTTTGCTTTAAAAAAACTACATTAAAGGTGGGGTAGGTTCACTTCAGATACACTTGTTGTTATATTCCATGGAATGCTCTTAACATCCCGATAGCAATGAATACATGAAATGCTTTGACAATAAATATATACAAAAATATCATCTGTGGAAGCCGTGGCGCTGTAAAAAGCACGACCAATCATCTGAGCCGACCCGGCTAAAGTAACTGGATGGCCTACCTGCCTGTCAGCCTTCCATCTGTGCACAAACTTATCTCGTGCCCTCATTGGTCATGTGCGCGTTCGTGTGTGTTGGAGGAGGGGCTCTGTAAGGAAGTCTGAAGGAAGGGGCAGATTTGTTCCGGTTGTGTACTTTCAAATTCTAGCGCACTCGAGCTGGTTTCTCCATTCTTACCTACCCTACCTTTAATACACCCTTTAGTTCAATATAAAGTGCTGCACATTTGATGTTTAGATGCAAATGTTTTCAGTTTCAAATTTCAAAATAAAGGCTTAGTTCAATGATGTGTTATTGTACATGTAATCCCATAATATTATCTATCCATACTAAAGCAAAAACACAACAGGTAATCGTGTGCTTAAATTGAGATAAAGTAAGAGTAACTTAAGAGAAAGAGGTTTATTATTCTGCAGAAAGTAATAAAATACTTTGTGAGCGTTGCAGAGAAAATAAATTCATATGTTTTCTCTTCATCTGTCCCTGTCCAAGTCTTTTTCTCTGCTTTAAATCAAATCACCTTCAACCTCAACAAACAACAAAGAGGTTGTGTGTACATGTAGTGTGTGTGAAGAAGTGTGTATTTAGATATTGATCTGTGTTTGTGTGTGTGTGCGTAGATCGCGGTCGATCAGCGGAGCTTCCTCCGGTCTGTCCACCAGTCCTCTCAGCAGTCCCAGGGTAAGTTTCTCTCTGTCCCGCAATGCACTTCACTGGCTGGCTCTGCTGGACACACACACACACACAGCTACATATTTGCTTTTTACAAAAAACAATGTCATGTCCTCACAAAATGGGATGTTCTTCAATTATGTGTCCTCACAAATGGAGAAATACAAGCGTACTCAAACACACTATTATTATTTTTACAGCACTGAGGATAGTTTTGACACACACACACAGCTAAATGTTTTCTTTAAAATACAAAGAAATGTCCTCACAAAATTGGAATGTTCTTCAATTATCGGTCCTCACAAGGAGACCAATACAAGCACACTCTCAAACACTGTTATCTTTCTTGCAGCACTGAGGATAGTTTTGACAAACACACACACACCTACATGTTTGCTTTAAAAAACAAAAAAATGTCCTCACAAAATGAGATGTTCTTCAATTATTGGTCCTCACAAGTATAGCAATACAAGCATACTCTCAAACACTGTTATCTTTCTTGCAGCACTGAGGATAGTTTTGACAAACACACACACACCTACATGTTTGCTTAAAAAAACAAAAAAATGTCCTCACAAAATGAGATGTTCTTCAATTATTGGTCCTCACAAGTATAGCAATACAAGCACACTCACACACTATTATCTTTCTTGCAGCACTGAGGATAGTTTTGACAAACACACACACACCTACATGTTTGCTTTAAAAAACAAAAAAATGTCCTCACAAAATGAGATGTTCTTCAATTATCAGTCCTCACAAGTATAGAAATACAAGCACACTCACACACCATTATCTTTCTCACAGCACTGAGGATAGTTTTGACAAACATACAGACATACACACACACACACACACACACTTTTCCTATGCATTTAATGACATGGAAGTTTCGGACCTGCTGTTTGTTTGTTTTGCTGCTGGTTCGCCATGTGTATCAGCCCTCTGTTCCCGTGTGGATCTGGTGGGTCACTTTGTGCTGACTCATGTTTCTTGGCCTCTGTGGATCTGGTGGGTCACTTTGTGCTGACTCATGTTTCTTGGCCTCTGTGGATCTGGTGGGTCACTTTGTGCTGACTCATGTTTCTTGGCCTCTGTGGATCTGGTGGGTCACTTTGTGCTGACTCATGTTTCTTGGCCTCTGTGGATCTGGTGGGTCACTTTGTGCTGACTCATGTTTATCAGCTCTGCTCATTCATCCCACAGCATCATGAGTCAGCACTTTGCATGCTGCTGGCCGCCGCCCCCTGGTGGAGGGTGAAGCTAAAGCTGTTAGCTTTCGAAGCTAACTCACGTGCTGGTAATCAGGGATGCACCGTATCAGACCATAGTCATTTATAAGATTTGTCTAAAAGAAACAACTGAAATTAAAGGAGAAAAAAACATAGAGGTAGTTTTAGTTGTGTCTGTTTAATACTAGAAAAAGGTTCTCAAATGTCAGAACAATATTTGAGGTTGTAGGAGTTATCTTTAAAAACGCTTTATTACTCTTTGATTACAATAAAGTAAAATAAACGTGACATTACATTTTTTACTACAAAAAAATGTGATTTTGCAATACAAATTATAATTTAACTATACATGTTTTTATTATTTTACGATTAAATTGTGGTTATTCTATCAAAACAGTTTTTTCAACAACAAATATTGTTTTACAACGATAAATATTTTTTTTACAATACAAATTATATGTTATCAATAAAAAAAGGATTTTACAATAAATAAATAAATACAACTAAATAACCATGATTCAACTGAATAAATTGGTCTCACAAAATATTTTTATAATAAAGAAATTGGGGTCAATAATATTATAATTAAGTCATTCAATTATATTTCAACTGTAATTTGTATGGTTTTACAATAAACAAACTATATAATTTTCATTAAAGAAAGGATTTTTTTTTTTAAATAATAATGCATGACAAAATAATATGACGGTCCAACAATAAATACATATGATTTTATTTAATACAAAATATATTCGTTTGCAATAAAAATAATATAATTAATTAATTTAATTAGAATTTCACAATAAAAAGGCTAAATTCACAAGGTAAAAAAAACATAAACAGACACAATCAGTTTTTTCTCAGTAATTTTAAATATGTTCGGTGCAGCAGTTTTGATCTCGGTGCATCCCGTTTGTTTATGCGTCATGAATGCTCCACTGCTGCCTCCTGATTGGCTAAAAATCACGTTGCTAACGCGCATGTTCTGTTTTCTTTCTTTCTTGCACTCTCACCACTTCCTGCCTGCTCCACCTCTCAACCATCCGCCCTCTTTCTGTCCTGCTCTGCTTTTTTATTTTTTTACCGGAATGACCCTTTTTATTGGTCCTCGCTTCTCATTGGCTGCCGTCTGAACGGGTGCATGACCAATCGCAGCCGACGCGGCGGTTTTTCATTCCCGCCCCAGTCCCCCGACCTGTGTCAGTCCCCCAACTGCAGCCCCACCCACTCCCACCACGAGGTGCGCCTCAATGGGGGGCCGCGGACGCCAAACTCCTACCACCCAAAGATGGGGTCCCCCCTCATGCACCCCCGCACGCAGACCCTCCCCGCAAAGCCCAAAGTGTCAGAGAAGCCCCTGCAGACCACACGCTCGAACCCCCCTCCCAAACACCGCTCAGAGCCCCACCCAACCCCAAATCTGCGCCCTCTACTCCTTCCACGCCTCTGACCCCCTGCATCACCAACAGCCCCCGGGTGAGGCGCCACCCTCCCCTCACTGTACCCCCGAAACTCTCCATTCCCCTCTCCCCCGCTCCCTCTATGTCGCCCCGCCGCCGCCACCACCACCTCCACCTCTACCCTGACCACAACGGAAAATCTGTCCCCATCACGCAGGTGACCCCCCACCCCTCCCCCAGAGGGAGCCCTCTCCCCACCCCCAAAGGCACCCCTGTGCACACGCCCAAGGACAGCCCGGCCGGGACCCCCAGCCCCACGCCCCCCCCCAGCCCCTCCATTGGGGGGGGTCTGCCCTGGAGGACGCGCCTCAACTCCATCAAGAACAACTTCCTGGGCTCACCACGCTTCCACCGCAGGAAAATGCAAGGTAAGTAGGGATGCTCCGATCGGGAATTTTGGGGCCGATCGCTGGAATCAGTATCGGCCGATACCGATCACCAATCCGATTGGGTGGGTGGGGGCTATGGGGATCTTCTATTTAAAGTGATGTTTAAAACTCAGTTAATGGGGCTCATTTTTATATTGCTTCAGTTTATAATCGTAACGGATCGAAAAGTTCAGATACATTTTTCAAAACATGATGCGCTTCCACAAACAACAAACAACAACCAACATAATTATTACATTCAAATAAAGTACATTATTCAAGTTTACATTAACTTTGGATAATAACACGGGAGAAACGAGCGGAAGCGCCTCTCTCTCTCTCTCTCTCTCTCTCTCTCTCTCTCTCTCTCCTGACAGCCTGTCAGTATCGTCTCATGCAGCTCACTGATCCAGTAATGAGTGACCCGACAGTGAAGAATAAATATATTTATAACTAGTTTAGCTTGTTCCAGAGGTAGATAAAATAGCTAAGTGTATTAGGTCTAACTCTTAGTGTGTGTTTTGCTCCGCTCACCGGTCCGTCACAGCAGGTGGAGCTGCAGGATTTCTGCTTCACACACGTTGCACACCGCTATTTTATTGTCTTTTTCGGACACCATAAAATACTGCCAGACCGGTGAAGCCATTTTGGCGAGCTTGTTTTGCCGCACACAGAGTATGAATATCGGTGGCCGATCGATCGGAGCACCCCTAGTAAGGAGGGAATATTTTTCAAAATAAGAAAGACTTTATTATTTATTTACATAGGATCTTTCTGACATAGAGTGGTCCAGTGATTACTGATTTCTGTGTTGGACCCTCAAGGCAGCATCTTCCTGGTCCAATGGAATTTCTCCATTTGATTTTGGATTATGCCAGAAAATAACCTCTGTGTCAAACAAACGTTTGTGATACTTACACGTTTTGTTCAGCAAGATAATCTCCACATATTAACACACACTTTATGATTCCTGAAGTTAAAAGTTAATGTTGGGCTATAAAGGAACTACAGCATGGTCACATGACTTCACGTCACCACAGCTAAGCTAAATGCGGCTAATGTTGGGAGTGATGACGTTTAGTCGCTTCATTTAGACACTTGATAGCAACCGCCGATTTAAATTCACCAGTGGGGTATTTACTGACATATTTTATGTAGCAGAACAAAACGTTAAAATCTCTTCAGCTAGTGTTAACCACAGACCTTAAATCAGGCTCACAACCAAAAACACATTCAGAAAACCATTGACTTCCAAACCAGGGGACAGAAAGTGCTAAAATGGTGACTAATGTCCAGGTCTTACGACTCTTTCTTGCACCACTTTTTGATCAAAGTGTAATAAAAGGCAAATACTATGTGCAGAGGGAATGGGAATTTTTATATTAAAAGAGGCTCCTGTGAATTTTATTTTCATCGGATCTTTATGATATTATCTCAGTCTGATCTGTATGGTAATGGATCAGCGTGGAGGTGTTTATGCAGCAAACTGCCTTCTTGTGGCTCGAGGGAACAAATTGAAATGTTACTCTAATGTCGGAGTTTAGCAGCTCACCTGCTGCCACACAAACAAGATAAACATCTCCTTACAGGAAGTGTAAAATCCTCAATTTTCTGCCTTTTAGTTTATTTTTCCCATCCCTTCTTTGATAGTGCCATGACCAGATAATCTCATTTACACCGACTTATCTGAAATAGATTATAGTGGTAAATAAAGATCTTTATCAGTTGATTGTGAAGACAGGAAGTTAGTTTTTATGTTAAAAAAAACAACTGCATCCCATCAATGTAACCATTGACCTTTTATTTCCACAGTTCCCACCCAGGAAGACATGTCCAGTCTAACTCCAGACTCTTCTCCAGAGTGAGTAACCGACATCCTCCATACTCTCGCTCCCTCTTTTCAATTTAAATAAATGTGTATAAGGCAGTAGAGTTCCCATTCATTTAAAGGTGGGGTAGGTGATTTTGGAGAAACCAGCTCGAGTCGCTTAGAATTTGAAATACACAGCCGAAAAAATCTGCCACTTCCTTCACAGAGCCCCTCCTCCAACACACCACGAACGCGCACATGACCAATGAGGGCACGAGATAAGTTGTGCACAGATGGAAGGCTGACAGGCAGGTAGGCCATCCAGTTACTTTTAGCCGGCCGGCTCAGATGATTGGTCGTGCTTTTTACAGCGCCACGGCTTCCACAGAGGACTTTTTTTATGGTATTTTCTCAAAGCACTTCAGATATTCATTGCTATCGGGATGTTAAGAGCATTCCATGGAATATAACAAAAAGTGTATCTCAAGCCGGTTTCTCAAACTTACCCACCCCACCTTTAAGGGAGCCCTACAAAATATATTACTGATTTATTTATGTATTTATTTGTGCAGATCTTAGTACTAATGATCCTTTACGTCTTTAAATTAGGTTTGAATAAACTGTACGTTGCTTGTTCTCTAGAAAAACATCTTGTTTCTAGTTCATTCCATTTGAAAGGCATATTGAAACCATAACATTTCTCTTTTAAAACTCTACTAACTACTTAACCTCAGATATCCCATCTGAGGTTAAGTAGTTAGTAGAGTTTTAAAAGAGAAATGTTATTTTGGAAGAACTTGGTTAATGTGCATATGTAAATGTGTTTCGATTGTGTATATATACATATTTGCTATATTTTTTTATATATATATGTTTTTTGTATTCAGGATTTGGGTGGGGAAACTGTATTTCGATCTCTCTGTCTGTACACACAAATGACAGATTGACAATAGAGTTGACTTTGACTTGAGCTGATG